GAAAGAGTCCTGGAAGGTGACTTTACCCACAAACAAACAAACAAAGCCAACCAAACAAACAAAAACCACCGTCCAATGGGCCAGATGAAGTGAGGGGCTGCACATGGCACCCGGCCTAAAGACAGGGGCCTCTGAGTGAGCAGCTTCAGGGCCACAAGGTCTGGTTTTGCTTTGTTTTTTATCTACTTTGAAGAACTGGGACTCAGAGCCTCATGCCAGCTTAGTAAGCACTCTACCACTGAGCCACACCCCAGCCCCTCACTGGGGGATTCTAGGCAGGGGCTCCACCACTGAGCCACGCCCCAGCCCCTCACTGGGGGATTCTAGGCAGGGGCTCCACCACTGAGCCACGCCCCAGCCCCTCACTGGGGGATTCTAGGCAGGGGCTCTACTATTGAGCCATACCTTCAGCCACTGTGGGAGATTTTAGCCACAGAACTGGATATCTTCCTGATGCTGGAGCCTAGCTCAGTAAAGGAAATTCTTCGGTCATCTTTACTGAAATAAGGAATCCTAAGGTAAAATATCAGATGATATTTAATTTAGCTACATTTTACCAAACCACTCTTTAGTGTAGCTGCATCTGAGAAACCAAACCAGTCTGTGTCCTGATTCTTCCTGCCTCACACCTGGATCTGAGTGTTCTCGGATTAGAAGCAGAGGAATCTGTCTGTAGTCTTTGTGTCCCAAAGGGGGACTTTGATTGTGGAAGAGGAGAAGCATGTGCAAATCAACAGGGTGGCTCCTCGACTTCAAATTGTGGTCTCAAATTTGCTGGTCTGCAGGATAATCCTGGGAGCTGAGGGGAGCTGAACTATTTAGACAGGTCAAAGAGAATTCGCCTAGTGTGAGCGACCCCTGGTGGTAATGTGGAGCAATGACATCCTGGGTGTCCTCCATTATTCCTCCGCTAATCACATCAATTCAATTCACCCCTCACATCATGACAGCTACACGTGTAACTTCAAACTTTTCATTCGCTACATCAGAGAAACAAAACAACCCTGGCGTAGAGAATGTCTGTCAACTCAGCATGTGGGGGGCAGAGGCAGGAGGACTGCTGTGAGTTTCACACCAGTTTGAGCTCACAGTAAGTTCCAGGGAAGTCAGAGCTACAGCGTGAAAGGGGAGGGGACAAGACACATGACCTGAGTTTGATCCCTGGGACTCAGATGGTGACAGGAGGCAACTGACGTCCACGGGCACACCTCCTGGCACACTCCCTCAGAAGAGGGAGGACTGGAGGAAGGAGGAATGGCGGGGGGGGGGGGGGGCTCCGAGGATTTGGGGAACAGGGAAAGAATAGGATCAAATACATTGTGTGTATATATGAAATTCTCAAACATTATTAAATATATATTTCGAGACAAAGTGTACCAGTCTTTCTTTTCAGCCTCCAACCAGCTCCCAAATCATGGCCCAGACTATTATTAGTTATGAGCGCTCGGCCTTAGCGAACGCTTGACTCACTAGCTCTTATACCTTATTCTAACCGGTTTCTCTTCAACTCCATTTTGCCTCGGGGCCTTTTACCTTTTCCGTTCTGTATGTCCGTCCTGCTATTGTCATTGCTTCTCATGTCTGTCTGTCTGTCTGGTGGCTGCCTGGCTTCTGGCCTGAGGTGTGTCCAGCTCTTTCTCCCTTGTTCTCTCCTCTCTCCTATTTATTCCATCCCCAGCCCCTCCTCTCCTTCTTCTGGCTAACTATTGGCTGTTCAGCTTTTCATTAGACCGATCAGATGCCTTGGGCAGGCAAGTGCACAAACTGAAACAAATACAACACACTTTTAATAGTTAAACCAATATAACATAAACAAATGTAACGTATCTTTACATCATTAACAAAGGCAGCAGAAACAAATGTAACACACCTTTACACAGTTAAAGTAATATTCTGCAACATAAATAAATGTAATACATCTTTACATAGTTAAATATTCCTCAACAACAAGGTCTCATAATAAATATATTTTTAAAAGGTCTCAAAATAAAAGTAATTTTTAAAATACATAAAACATTTGTCTGGGAGCATGGGTCACATCATGGACTGCTCTTGCAGAGGACCCAGGTTTAATTCCCAGCATCCACACGGAGGCTCCGAGCCAACTATAACTCCAGGGGATCTGACACCCTTTTTAATCTCCATAGGCCCTGCATGCACATGGTGCACAGACATACAAGTAAACACTCACACACGAGACAAAAGTAAATAAAAATTGTATAGCTGAGTGTAGTGGCACACTCCTTAAATCCCAGCACTCAAGAGGCAAAGGTAGTCAGATCTCTGTGAATTCAAAGCCAACCTGGTCTACAAAGAGAGTTCCAGGACTGCCAGGTCTACGCATAGAAACTTTGTCTCAACATAAATAAATAAAATTATGAAAAGTACTTATACTCTCTTTTAAAATAAAATTAGAAGTTAAAACCTCCTCAGGGGCTGGGGAAGCATGTCAGTTGGTAGAGTTCTTGCCATCATGCTAGGATGCCTAAACCAAGTGTAGAGACCCAGCCCTGTAAGTCCATCATTCAGAAGGTAGAGAGAGGTGGCATAGTTCTCTCTCTCTCTCTCTCTCTCTCTCTCTCTCTCTCTCTCTCTCTCGTGCACTTTGTAATCATGTAAAGATGTGTTGCATTTGTTTTACTTAAAGCACCTGATTGTCTATAAAAAGCTGAACAGCCAATAGATAGTCAGTAGAGGGATAGGCAGGGCTGGCAGGCAGAGAGAATAAGGAGAAGGTGGAGGAAAAAAAGAAGATGCCCCGGGTCAGCCAGGCAGCTGCCAGACAGACACGCATGGAGAAAGCAGGAAGGTAGGACCCACAGAATGAAAGAAAGGCAAAAAGCCCCATGGCAAAATGTAGATGAAGAGAAACAGGTTAAATGAGGTTGTAAGGGCTAATGGGTTTATGATAAGGCCGAGCATTCATAATAATAAGTCTCCATGTGGCCAGGCAGTGGCGCACGCCTTTAATCCCAGCACTTGGGAGGCTGAGGCAGGCGGATCTCTGTGAGTTCAAGGCCTGTGTTTAGGACACTGCTATTGCAATTGTTAGATTTACACAAAAACCAACAGGGACACTTCACTGCGCTTTCGTTTGAGTGAACTCTGTGGTCTCAGGACCAGTGTCAACGTGTCAGTCTGCTGTCATGGTAACGTGGGATCCATAGCCGCATCTCCGACAGTTCCCACTTGAAGTAGATTCACACACTCCAATTGTCCCAAACATACCAAATTTCACAACACAGAATCTAAGTCCACTTTTTAAAACTTACATTTAAGACTGGAGAGATGGCTCAGCGGTTAAGAGCACTGGCTGCTTTTCCAGAGGACCCAAGTTCAATTCCCAGCACCCACATGGTAGCTTACAACTGTCTGTGACTCCAGTTCCACAGGACCTGACACCCTCACACAGACACATGTAGGCAAAACAGCAATGCACATGAAATAAAAATAATACATTATAAAACAACTTATTAAAAAAAATATGTGTATATGGGTGTGAGTGTGTGCACATGGGTGTAGTGCCCAGAAAGACCAGAAGAGGGCATTGGATTCCCTGGACCTGGAGTTACAGGTGGCTGTGAGCTGCTGTTGTGCTGGGAGCCAAACTCAGATCCCTCTGCAGCAGCAGCTCTCTTAACCCCCCAGCCATCATCTCTTCAACCCTGAAGCTCAATGTTAGACATGTTTTGAAAATTATATGTTCATCGTGGGAGGGGCACATGCTGTGGTGAATGTGAGGTTGGAGGGCAACTTTAAAATCAGGTCCGGCCTTTACCGTGTGGGGCCTGGGAACCGAACCCAGGGCCTCAGGCCTGAGGACCTGCTAAGCTGTCTCATCGGCCCCTTCAACTGTTTAAGTTACAGTTAGATAAGGGAGCCATGGTGGTGCGGCATACCTGTAATTCAAGCTCTCAGAGGCTGGGGCAGAGGATCAGGAGTTCAAGGGCCAGCCTGAGCTACTGACACACATCTTAGAAGAGAAATCGAGCTTCCACGGGAGGCCTACACGCCGCCGATTCTGCCGCCGCCATGTCTCTAGTGATCCCTGAGAAGTTCCAGCACATCCTGCGAGTACTCAACACCAACATCGATGGGCGGCGGAAAATAGCCTTTGCCATCACCGCCATTAAGGGTGTGGTGCGGAGATATGCTCATGTGGTGCTGAGGAAAGCGGACATTGACCTCACCAAGAGGGCTGGAGAGCTCACGGAGGATGAGGTGGAGCGCGTGGTCACCATCAGGCAGAACCCACGGCAGTACAAGATCCCAGACTGGTTCTTGAACAGACAGAAGGACGTGAAGGATGGCAAATACAGCCAGGTTCTGGCCAATGGTCTAGACAACAAGCGACGTGAGGACCTGGAACGGCTGAAGAAGATCAGAGCCCACAGAGGGCTGCGCCACTTCTGGGGCCTTCGTGTCCGAGGTCAGCACACTAAGACCACTGGCCGCCGCGGCCGTACTGTGGGTGTATCCAAGAAGAAATGAGTCTCTGGGCCTTCACTGTTAATAGTTTATATACCTGTGGGAAAAAAAAAAGAAGAGAAATCGAGAGGGAGGGAGGACTGGAGAAAGAAAGGAAAAGAGATGGGGTGGGGTGGACCTGGGAGGATATGGGGGAATAGGGAACGAATACCATCAAAATACATTGAATGAGTGTACATATGAAATTCTCAAACATTCAATTATGTTATATATTTATGTATAGATACCAAGACAAGTTCTCATTATGTAGCCCTGGCTGTCCTGGAGCTCACTGTGTAGACCAGGTTAGCATAGAACCCACTGACTGAGATCTGTGTCTGGCTCCATCGTGCTGGGATTAAAGGTGTGCCCCACCACACCCACCCTCAAAAGGGAGGAAAGAAAACCTGTTGAATTAGAGACTTTCAGTGGCGGTAGGACAGGGTGCGTCCGTCCGTCTTTCTCAGGCTCTGGGGGACAGCACAGTGACTAAATTCCAGAACTCTGGACACGACACACCTCGAGCGCGAGCGCGTTCTGCGGCCTCCGGTGTGACGTCACAACGCCCCCACCATGCCTCCGACCTTGACCCTAGCGCTTCTGTGCGCCCTGGGCGGCCCCGGGGCTTGGTGCTGCCTGCAGTGCGACCAGTCGGTGCTGCGCGCGCTCGGCCAGCTGCGCGAGGCCACGGTCCCCAAGCGCTTCCACGTGGAAGGGCTGCAGGCGCGCGCGCAGGCCCTGCTGCTGGGCATGGAGGGCCCTTTCTTCCGGGACTACGCCATGAACGCGTTCGTGGGGAAAGTGGGTGTGTGCTCGCGCGCGAGGGGCAGAGGCCGGGGCGGTGACGGGCGGCCGTCGTGACGCGGCGCCCCGTCCGTCCGTCCTGGTCTGCAGGCATGGATCAACTGGAGAACGTGGCGGCCTCCTTCATGAACCAGACTCGGTACATACAGGCCAGCTCCCTGACAGGTAGGAGACCGTTCAGCCCCTGGCTGGCCTCCCTTCCCGCGCCCCCACGCGTCCCCCCTGGGTAGCTAACAGAAGCCTTGGCTGTGAGGCAGGCGTTGGAGATGCCTGCTTTGCAAAGGAGGAGGAAAGCTGAGGCTCAGAGAGGCCAGGTGACTTGTCCAAAGTCACACAGAGTGGAGGATGTGTGCGGTACCCCATCTCTACGATGCCCATCACAGGCTGTGGGCGGCCACACACTTCTGCTTGCTTCTCAGACAACTTAGGGTTTTTAGAGTTGGAGCATTTGTGGAGTTTCCGCCTGAGGGACTACCTTTCCCAGCGTGCACGGAAGTCATATCCGGCACCCTATCTTCCTCGGTAGGCGTTCTGGCCGTCTACCCCTTCGCTGTGAATAAAGATAGTTCCGCTTAAAGACAGATCGAGCGTCTGTTTCTTTCCCTCTACAGCCGTCTTTTAACTACTCTAACATTTGTAGTAACCTTTCCATCCTTTCCATCCGTGAGTCTACCTGGGGCCTGCCATCCTAGTAACTCAGGAAGCTGAAGCAGGAGGACCGCGACTTACAGTCCCGCCCTAATTAGAGTGAGTTCAAGGCCAGCCTCGCAGCTCCTGAGAGGCTGATGGGCAGCGCTTCGCATGTGCCAAGCCTCCGGGGGTTATTCAACCACACACAGCCTGTGCACGTGTTTTAACTCCCAAACGCTTGGGCGTCTCCAGAATTCAGATTCTTTTTGAACACTGAATGGGTCATTTTTGTCTAGAGCACCTCTCTCTCTCTCTCTCTCTCTCTCTCTCTCTCTCTCTCTCTTTCATGTGTAAGAGTGTTTTTGTTTGCACGTCTTATGTGCCATGTGTGCAGTACCTGTGGCGGTCAGCTACCACGTGTGTGCTGGGAACTGAACCCGGGTCCTTTGTAAGAGCAGCCAGTGCTCTTAACCAATGAGCCATCTCTGCAGCCCCGTTTACTCGTTCTGTAAGTGGTTCAAAGCTCATGGGGCTCTGCACTGATGGCATCTGTTCCCTCCTCAGATGGCCCTCTGTTGGAAGAGCTGGTGAGCCTCAGGGAGCGCACCATCAAGGAACTAAAGAAAGCCTTAAAAGCTTATGAAGTAAAAGGTGTCTCCCCAGTCTCCCCAAAGCCGTCCTCTGTGACTCCCAGCATCCCTTTGTGCCAACATCCCTTCCTCCCCTCCCTCCCCTGCTCCCTTCCCACTGTCCATGTCCCCAGGTCACTGACATCAGCTCCCTTCTCTTTCAGCCTGTGACCACAGAACTTGTCGTGAGTCCTGCTTTTCCTGTTCACCCCCACCCTCCCGTACCTGCCCCCCATCCCTCCCAAGTCAAACCCTGATGCCGTACTCGCTTTACCACAAACCCACGAACCTTGTCATCAAGGGAGGGAGGCTCTCTGCACACGCACACATGCCTGCGGAAGCCAGCGGGTGTCATGATACTCTCCTGGGATATCATGCCCCAGCAACCACCCATGTTATCGTTAGTCGTTTTGTAGAATTTGTATGTATGAGTGTTTTCAGGAACATATGTCTGTGCAGCACATATGTGCAGTGCCCATGGAGGCCAGGAGAGGGCATCAGATCCCCTGGAACTGGAGTAACAGGTGGGTACAGCCACCACGTAGGTGCTAGGATCCGAGCTTGGGTCTTCCACAAGATTAGTAAATGCTTTTAACTACTGAGCCATCTCTTCAGCCTCCACCTTGGTTTTTGAGACGGGGTCTCTTGGTGTCGTGAAGCCCCCCAGAACCCCCCTGCCTCTGCCTCCTGAGAGCACGTTCAACCCTTTCTGCCCTAAGCATCTTATCTACTGAGCTCCCCCTGACACAAGTCCTCACTCTGTAACCCAGGCTGACCTAGAACTCATGACGGGCCTCCTGCCTCAGCCTCCGCAGTGCTGGTGTTGGATTGAACTCGGGTCAGCAGTCTTGACGGTCAGCACCTTTACCCATCTTGCTGGTCCTTCAGGATTGGTTTTTGGGAGGCTTAGGAAAATGGCTTCACTGTGTGAACTGGGACCTCAGGCATCTGTGAGTGCCACAGGCTGTGTGGCAGTGACAAATTCCACATGCCAGTGGCTCAGCACGACAAGTGCTGCTCTCCTGGCACATCCCCCTCCGGGGGGGCGTAGCTCCTTTACCCCCACCGTCCCCATGCTGAGTTTACACTCAGCCTAGGGACTCCCTGGGACGTTTGGTGGCCTGGCGTGACACCTACCACACCTTTCATCTTCCTTTGATTCAGTAGGACGTGTGGGTGCAGCTCGCTGCAAAGGGTGGGGAATGTTTGCACAGGAAGAGGAGGAGCCACGTGAACCACGCCCACCCTCTGCCAGATGAGGCTCCAAGACTGGAAAGTACCAGATTCAAAAATTAATAAATGTTGAGGCCAACAAAATGGCTCAGGAGGTAAAGGTGCTTGGTGCCAAGCCTAACCCCTGAGTTCAGGTCTCAGGACCCACATGATGGGAGGAGAACAGACTCGTGTAAGTTGTCCTCTGAGCTCCATCATGTGCCTGTGTGTGTATGCACACAACAGGAGATACATACGTGTAAAAGGACAGCAATAAAGAGTCGCCAAATAGGGAAACAACAGCTGGCTGGCCCAGGTCTGCCATAGAAGCTACTAAGAAAGGCTAAGGCAGGAGAGTCTCAAGTTCAAAGCTAACCTGGGTAACTTAGCAAAATGTTGTCTCAGAATTTAAAAAAAAAAAAAAAAGGACTGTGTGATGTGGACACTAGAGTCCCCAGTGAGGGACTGGAGTGTGGCTCAGTGGTAGAGCTTGATCCGTAGCACCCTCCATCCCCACCCCCACCCCCCTCAAGCAATATCCTATGATCAGAACCAGAACACTGAGTCACCTGGCCTATGGAAATTCCACGTAACTCTTCAATGGTGGAAAAATCATTTCTGGAGCCGGGAGGTGGTGCACGCCTTTAATCTAGCACTCGTGAGGCAGAGGCAGGCAGATCTATTTGTTCAAGATCAGCCTGGTCTACAGAGGGAGTTCCAGGACAGCCAAGGCCACTCAGAGAAATCCTGTCTCAACAACACAAAAGAACACAATGAAGAGGGAAAAAAAATCACTGTCACAGGACCTGTCTGCTGTGCCCGGCAGTGACTGTCAAAATGTAGAGACGCAGGGGATCCTGCCCCCTTTTTACTTTGTCCCCTCTCTGCTCTTTCTGGTTCCTGAGGTCTGCTTTTCTCCACATCTCCCTTTCTCCCTGCCTAGGCTTGCTCAAGGAGGAGGTCCTGGACTGCTTACACTGCAAGAAAATCATCCCCAAATGCATCCAAGAGAAGTACTGTTACGGTAAGCGTGGGCTTGGAAAAGGCAGGGTGGTGTGTGAGAGACAGTCCTTGTCCCTGTGGAGGTGGGTTTCAAGGCTCTCCATAAGTACTTGGAGGCTGAGGCAGGAAAATCTGGAGTTCAAAGCCAGCCTGAGCCACATAACTCCTGTCTGCAGACCCACCCCAGGGTGGGGTGAAGAGATACATAGGTTCCCGAACCTTTCTGGCCAGCCTGGATGAATTTGCAAGGACTAGGTTCAGTCAAAATCAGGGTGAAAAGGGATTGGAGAAGTCACCTGACATTGGCCTCTGACACACACACACACACACACACACACACACACACATTTTAAGGGCTGGTAGGTAGCTCATTGGTTAAGGGCACAGACAGTTCTTCCAGAGGACCCAGATGACATTGTTCCTGGCAGCTGAAGGCAACCACACGCACTTCTCAGACCCTCAAAGACATGTGACTTAAAAGGTCCCATCTGAGTTCCAGGACTGTCAGGCTACACAGAGAAATCCTGTCTCTCTCAGAGAGGAAGAGAGAGGGGGGAGGGAGAGAGGGGGAGAAGATCCTATCTCAGAAAACAAAGCTTATGTTTAGATATTCTCCTATGTGGAAAGCATGGGAAGATTGACTGTCAGTCATTGTGACATTACGTACCTATCCACGTCCTTCTGGCAGAGATAATAGTACAAAGAACCCTGGCCATCGCACCTGCTATTCCTACCCCTCCCTCCTGTCTTCAGGTCTCAAAGCCATGTCTTCCTGGTGACACTTCCTAAAACAGTACTTTCCATCAAATTGCATCTACACTGCATACTCCACCATCTCTGTTTACCCACTTTACTCTTTGTTATAAGATGTTATTCTTTTGTTTTTCGGGACAGGGTTTCTCTGTGACTTTGGAGCCTGTCCTGGAACTCGCTCTGTAGAACAGGCTGGTCTCAAACTCACAGAGATCCGCCTGCCTCTGCCTTCTGAGTGCCGGGATTAAAGGTGTTTGCCACCACCGCCCAGCTATTTTAAACTGGTTGTATTTTAGGCAGTTACAGACAGTTGCGAGCCACTGTGTGGGTGCTGGGAATCAAGCTTGGGCCCTCTGGAAGAGCAGCCAGTACTCCTAACCACTGAACCACCTCTCTATACCCCTCCCCCTTTTTTCCTTAGTATTTGTCTTAGTCAGTGTTCTATGCTGTGAAGTGATGCCATGACCACAGTAACTCTTATAAAAGAAAGCGTTCAGTTGGGGCTTGCTTACAGTTTCAGGGTTTAGTCCATTGTTGTTCTCATTCAGACCACCTCATTCCATTTCCTGGCCCCCATTGGCTTGTGGTCATACCACAATGGGAAATGCATTTATTCCAACTCCCAAAGTCCCCATAGTCTATAACTTCATGGCTGGGCTGTCGTGGCGCACACCTTTAATCACAGGGCTTGGGAGGCAGAGAAGGTGGATCTCTATGAGTTCCAGGTCAGCCTGGTCTACAGACTGGGTTCCAGGGCAGCCAGGACTGTTACACAGACAAACCCAATCTCAAAACACAAAGTTCAAAGTCTCTTCTGAGATTCATGATAATCTTTTAACTGTAACTCCCTGTAAAAATCAAAATAAGAAAACAGATCACATACTTCAACTTATAATGTCACAGAATATAAATTACTATTCCAAAAAGGAGGAAAAGGAACATGGTGAGGAAATACTGGACTAAAGTAAGAAAAACCAGCTGGGCAAACTTCAAACTCTGCATTCCCATGTCTAATGTCAAAGCACTCTTCAGATCTCCAACCCCTTCAGCTTTGTTAACTGCAACACACTCCTCTTCCTTGGGCAGGTCCCACTCCCTGTCAGCAGCCCTCCTCAGCAGGTGTCCCAAGACGCTGGCATCTCCAAGACAATCCAGGCTTCACCTTCACAGCTCCACACAACAGCCTCATTAGGCCCATGTCTTAGTTGGGGTTCTTGCTACTGTGATGGGACACCATGACCACAGCAACTCTTATAAAGGAAAACATTTAAATGAGGTGGCAGCTTTACAGTTCAGAGGTTCAGTCCACTATCATCATGGTGGGGAGCATGGCATGGCGGCATGCAGGCAGACATGGTGCTGGCTACATTTTGATCAGAAGGCAACAGGAAGTGGACTGCATACCACACTGAGGGAAGCTTGAGCAAAAGAGACCTCAAAGCCTGCCCCGCAGTGACGCACTTCCTTCAACAAGGTCACACCTCCAATAGTGCCACTCTCTATGAGCTCATGGAGGCCAATTACATTCAATCTACCACAGCCTGGCCGCAGCAGCTTTCCTTAGCCATGGAGGGAGAGTCCATAACCCCTTCTATCCTTGATTCTAAAGCCAGAACTAAGCGGCCAAGTTCTGCTGGGGCTGGGACTGGAACTTAGTTCCCTTGTTAAATACATTTTCCCCTGATATTATTACCTTCACTCTTGTTTTTTAAAGACTTATTATGGATACAATTTGCTGCCTGTATGTATGGCTGCATGCCAGAAGAGGGCGCCAAATCTTTACAGATGGCTGTGAGCCACCATGTGGATGCTGGGAATTGAGCTCAGGACCTCTGGAAGAGCAATCAGAACACTTAACTCTTGAGCCATCTCTCCAAGACTGCGCATTTTATATTTCTCTTGCTCAGCTTGTTCCTTGTCATTGTAGCTCTGCATGAGAGTAGCCACTGCAACAGTTAAAGATGCTAAGCTGCTTCAAAATCTCCTTCACCAAAACCATTGATTCGGAGCTCTTCAGTTTAGCCTTAGGCAGATGTTTTGGACAAGAGCAGGCAGCAGCCACGTTCTTTGACAAAATATCACAAGAACAGTGTGTAGTCTCCATATTAATATTATTCTCCTCTGAAAACCTGTAGAGCCAGGCTTCATCTCTCAGCACCACCGTCTCCCACGCCCCTACTAGGATGGCCCATTAAGCCTCACTTTTCCTAATCCGTGCACAGTGCACCGTCAAGCAGCGTGGTCTGGCTTGTCGTAGCAATATCCTGATTACCGGTACCAACTCCTGTCTCAGTGTTCTATCGCTGTGAAGAGACTCCATGACCGTGGCGATTCTTATACAGGAAAGCATTTAATTGTGGCTGGCTTCCTTCAGAGGTTTAGTCCATCATCGTCAGGGTGGGCGGCGTGCAGGCAGATGTGGTGGAGGAAGTGCTTCCCTCCTTAAGAGATGGGGTCTCACTGTAGCCTTCAGCTCAGAGTAGTCACCCTGCCTCAGTGTCCCAAGTGTTTGGATGGCATTTGTGAGCCACGACACCCAATTCTTGCTTCCTTCCCGTATCCAACAAGAAGTGAGTTTTTTGGTTGTTGCTGAGAGAGGCTGGGCTACAGTGTTGGCCACGGTGAATGGTACTCGGGAGCCCCACACAGCGCTGGGTGGTGAACCGGTGAACAGTGGGGTGGAGGAGGTTACAGTGGGTGGTAGTTTGGCGCTGAGTCCCACTTCCAACTGCCCAGTGGATGGGCAGCCCCGCATGGCTCTCAAGTTCGATCCTGACAGCATCCTGAGGAATATGGTGTTGGTGGGCGACTTGGTCACCGTGGGACTGGCCGTCCTAGTCGTCTTAGTCATCCTGATCGCGTGAGTCACCCCTAGCCCTCCAAGTCCCTCACACGCGGACACCACCCAGGTGTGGTGGTCCACTACTCTGACCCCAGCACTGGGGAGGCTTAAAGCAGGAGCGTGGCTATAAGTTCAAGGCCAGTTTGAGCTACTCAGCAAGATGTTATCTCAGGAAATGGGAGAGCTGGGGATGCAGCTCAGTTGGTAACTGCCTTGTGTGATCAACGTCATGGGTTTGATTCTTAGTACTGGATAAACCAGGTATGGTGTCACAAACTTGTCACCTCAGCATTTGGGAGGTGGAGGATGGAGGATCAGCAGTTCAAGGTCATCCTTGCCTAATGGTGAGTTCGAGGCCAGCCTGGGCTACTGAGACCCCATCTCAAAAAGAAAGAGAAATGGGGTGGAGAAATGGAAGGGAGAAAAATGGACGCATAAGGGGTCTTTGGTCCCCCAGTCCCCGTGTTCTTCAGTTCCCAGTAACCCTTCTCTTCCCTCTCTCTCTCTCTCTCTCTCTCTCTCTCTCTCTCTCTCTCTCTCTCTCTCTCAGACAGGGTTTCTCTGTGTAGCCCTAGCTATCCTGGGACTCGCTCTGTAGACCGCGAACAGATCCGCCTGCATCTGCCTCCTGAGTGCTAGGATTAAAGGCGTGTGCCACCACCACCACCATTTAAAGTATGTATATATTTGTACATATGTCTGGGGAGTGTGTGCACATTAGTACAGAAGATGGCATAGGCTTCCTGTTAGCTGGAGTGAGGTGGTTGTGGGCCACCACGGGGCACTGGGAACCCAACTTGCATTCTTTGTAGGAGCAGTACGTGCTCTGAAGCACTGAGTCTTGTCCCAGCCTTTCTGTCCCTCGTTCCCTCTCTCTCTCTCTCTCGCTCTCTCACGCTCGCTCTCTCTCTCTCTCTCCTTCCTCCTCTCATTTTCTCCTTCCCTCACGCCAGTTCCAAAGCTACAAAAGTAGCTGTCTCTGTGAGTCCCTTCTATTAAAGAAGGAGAGGGAGGAGGAGGGAGAAGTTGGATGTGGAGGTGGTGGTGCACACCTTTAGTCCCAGCACTCGGGAGGCAGAGGCAGGTGGATCTCTGTGAGTTCAAGGCCGGCCTGGTCTACATAGTTCCAGGACAACCAGAGATACATAGTGAAACCTTGTCTGAAAAAAAAGGTTGAAAGCGCTGATCAAACCAAGATCTTCTCTAGCTGGGTTATTATTATATACTCTTCACCATCACTGTTATTGATATATTATTTTGTTAAACCTTTTTGAGACAGTGTTTCATTATGTATATTTGGCTGACCTGGAGCTCTCACTCCAACTCACGGGGATCCAACTACCTCTCTCCAGTGCTGGGAAAAATGGCGAGTGCCACCATGCCCAGCTGTTAATATTTTGACCCAGGGTCTCCTGTACCCTAGGCTAAGCTGGAACTCATCTTCTGTCTCAGACTTCTTAGTGCTCGGATGACAAGCATCAGCCTGGCATTAATGATGAAACTTAACAGCTCTTGGTACATAGCCAGGGTACACAGGAGGGTCACCTCTACCGATGAGATTGCCTGGAGCCACAGAAATTCATTCTTGGGAGGTGCTAGGGGCGTGGCTCAAAGGTAGAACCCCCGCCCAGAATCCCCCAGTCAGGAGCTGGAGTGTGGCTCAGTGGTGGAGCATTTGAGTAGCATGCCTGAGTCCTGTGCTCAGTTCTCATCCCTTGAAGTTATTATCTGGGGCTGTCCAGCTGGCTCAGTGGATACAAGTACTTGCCTGTTAACAGGAGTTGGCTCCCAGGACCCACATGGAAAACTGGCTCCCACGCGTCCTCTGACCCCCACACCCACGCTATAACACCCATACACAAACACGCATAACAATACATGAATGAATACGGAAGCAAATGTCAAACATGTAAAGGTTTGAATGTGTAAGCTAGACACCCTCTGTCCCCCTGTGTCATGAGTGGCCCCGGCCGGGGTGGATTGCTTCTTCCACGACGGTCTCAGCTGCCCTCAGCTGCTGGCAGCCCTGGACATTTGTTAATTTGTGTCTTCCAGCTAAGCTTTGCTCCATGTAAGTGGAGTCCTGGGCCAGCAGATTCTAAGTGACTGAGTTCACCACTTTCCCCCAAGGGAAGCAAACAGACGCAGGAAGGGAAGACATTCTCAGTCACAGTGGCCATGTTGGGAAGACGAAGTTAAAATATTGCAGCTCGGTAACTAGAGATTTGCATGCAAACAGAGGACCTGGGGTAGGGGGTTGGGGCCGTGAGCAGATGAACAGTCCTGTCAGAGTTTGGTTGGCTGGGTTGTTAATCTCAGGCCTGCTTCTGCAAGATGTGAAGTGCAAGTCCTTGAGAGAACAAGCCTTCCCTTCCCACTGCTGCTCAGTGGGAGCTTGTCCTGGGCTGATCTTTTTTTTTTTTTTTTTTTTTTTTCCCAATTTTTCAAGGCAGGGTTTCTCTGTGTAACAGCTCTGTCTAGGAAACCCCTCTGTAGGCCAGGCTGGCCTTGAACTCACAGAGATCCCCCTGCCCCTGCCTCCCAAGTGCTGGGATTAAAGGCAGGCCCCACACCACCTGGCTTTGGGCTGATCTTTTTATTTTTCAGGTGTATGGGGGTTTTTGCCCACATGTAAGATTGTGCACCATGGACTTGCCTGGTGTCCTCAGAGACCAGAAGAGGTCATTGGATCCCCTAGGACTGGGGTTACAAATGGTTGTGAGCCACCATATAGGTAGAGGGAGTCAAACCTGTGCCCCGCCCCCGGAAGAGACATCAATGCTCTTCTTAAGCACTGAGCCGTCTCTCCAGCCCCATCCCTGCTATGCTTCTGTTATGCAAGGAGACTAAAGGAGTAGGAAGGACAATGGCCAGAGTCCTCTGGGCTGGGCTGGCACAGGCGGCACAGTCCCTCTTAGATTTGTTTCTTCCATTTGTGAGAGAGAGACAGGGGTCTGACTGGGTAGACAATCCTGCGTTTAACACTAAGTTCTCAGGTAAGCAGGTTAGCAAGGGAGATTAAAACTGAAGACAGATAGATGCCAGGCTTTCATTGTTCTATTAGGTTTTGGGGGACAGGGTCTCATGTAGCCCAGGCTAGTCTCAAAATTACAGTGTAGCTGAGAATGGCCGTCCTCCACCTCCCTGGTGCAGGGTTTACTAGTGTGCCTCACCTACTTAGTTCTGGGGGTGGGCTGCAGGCTTTCATGTGCTGTGGAGCACTCCCCCCCCCCCAGTCTAACCCCAGCCAGTGGAATCTAAGTTCCCATTCATCAGGTAGGCTTTTTGTCTTCTCTTGGAGACACAGTGTGGTCTTGTCTTTCTCATGTAATGATGCCAGTGTTTGGATACAACCCAGACCTAAACTCAGGATGATGTCAGCTTGTCTTAATTACACCTACAAAGACTATTTCCAAATAAGGCCCCTTGGGGTAAGGGCTGGGGGTTGGGAAGAGGGAGACGAAGCTTGAGGGAGGCGCTGGTCAGTCATGGTACTCTGCTTCTGTCCTTTTGTTATTTCTCCTTCTGTCCATCCTTCCTTGCTCCTGGTTCCCTTGATTCCACATTCTCCCTGTCCTGACCAGAAACTAACGATGTCTCTGGCTGAGTCCCTGCTGTGTGTGCCAGTTCCAGCCTTCATTGTCTTCCATTCTGCCATCATCTATCCATCATCTATCCATCCATCTCTCCATCTATCCATAATCCATCCATCTACCCATCCACCTATCAATCATCCATCCATCATCTATCCATCTATCTATCCATCATGTACCCACCCATCTATCCATCTTCCATCCATCCATCCATCCATCTATTCACCCATTTATCCATTATTTATCCATCCATCCATCACTCTATCATCTACCTACCTACCCGTTGTTTTGTGTGTGTGTGTGTGTGTGTGTCTATCTGTATGTCTGTCTGTACTGTACATGCATGCATGCCAGGACAGGCATGTGGAAGTCAGAGGAAAGCTCTCTAGTGTCTGTTTTCATCTTCAGTCATATGGGTTGTGAGGCTCAAATTCAGAGCGACAAGCTTATTGGCAGCTTCCTTTACCTTCTGGGCCACCTCAAGCCCCAGTTTGTGAATTTTGAGATGTGGCCTCGCTTTGTGGCCCAGGCTGGCCTGGAACTTAGGACAGTCCTCTTGTCTCAGCCTCCCAAGTGCTGTCCTCCCAGGCATGTCCACCTACCCATTTAACCTTCCTCTTTTTCCTCCTGACCAGGGCTTGTACATACAGACAAAACCGGAAACTCCTGCTGAAGTAGGCTAGTGGCTTTGGTGTTTGCAAAGTGAAAGTAAATTTAATAAAATCAGTGACAAATTCCTTAGTGTCTGTCATTCCCTGTGGACACTCAGTCCTCTGGTTTTACGAGGTGCTCTGTGTGTGTGTGTGTAGTGGTGGGCATTGAACATACTGTCTAATGTGCTAGGCAGGCATTCAACCCTGAGCTACATCCCCAGCTCTTTTAACTCCTTTTCACTGAGGGAAGGGGGGGCTTGTGTGTGTGTGTGTGTGTGTGTGTGTGTGTGTGGTGTGTGTGTGTGTGTATAGTTTTCCAGCTTGTCCTGGAACTCACTCTGTAGACCAGGTTGACCTCTAATTCACAGAGATCCACCTGCCTCTACCTCCCAAGTGCTGGTATTAAAGGTGTGTGCCACCACTGTCCAGCTTTATTTATTTATTTTATTAAGACAGGATGTGATGGTGAGTGTTGCCAATTTGGCAGAATCTAGAATCACATGGAAGAAGGGCCCCTGGGCATGCATTTGGGGGGTGTTATCATGCATGTGAAGTGTGAAAAATTGCCCACTGTGGGTGGCAACATCCTCTTAATGGGATCCTGAACTGTGTAAGTGGAGAAAAGAGCTAAGCAGCAGCAAGCATAAAATAAAATCATTTTAAAGAAATAAAAAGAGACAAGAGGAAAGACAGAAGGAAAAAGAAGACGGAAGGAGGCAGGCATGAAGGGAGGGAAGAAAAAGCAGGCAAAAGGGACTGAGAGGCAGTGTTCACCCTTGGCCCAGGAAACTACATTTCCCAGAAGTCTCTGCTCTTGAGCAACTATCTGTGACCTTGGAGTCCGGCATCCGCGCAGTGTTGCTAAAGGCCGAAAAAGTGTGTATCAGTACCAATTTTCCATTTTCCAAAGCTTTCAGTCCAGCTTGTTGTCATTATAGAGTACTGTACACTCCCAGGCGAGTGCTTAGACAGGCCCTTAAGCTCCGACTCAATGAATTCTGGGAATTGTAGTTGCTGCCTGCACAGGCACACTTTGCCACAGGACAGTGGTTGATGGCAGAAATCTCAAGCTATGGGTCCCTGGGTCTCCTTGGCAGCGGGTGGGCCGCAGAGAGGCGGGGACCAAAGTCTGGCCTTGTCATCTTGACTGGCTGAGGCCCGCTGCAGCCTTGAGCTACTCCAGAAGCTTGGCAGCGTCTTAGGCTCTTGATTAATAATAACGTTTTCTTTCTTTCATGAGACAGGGTCTTTTGTAGTGTAGGCTAACCTGGAGCTCAATATGTAGCAGAGAACTCTATATGACCTTGAACTCCTGATCCTCGTCTCCCAACTGACAGACATGCGCCCCACATGCTGGGCATTGGACCCAGGCATGTGTGCCAGGCAAGCACTTTACCCGTCTACCAATGGAGCTACAGATGTATTTTAGTTTGCTGTTGTTGTTCGTTTTTATGTACATTGGGGTTTGCCTACGTGTCTGTCTATGTGAGGGTGCCGGATCCCCTGGAATTAAAGTTACAGACAGTAGCGAACTGACATATGGGTGCCGGGGATTGAACCTGGCTGGGTCCTTTGGAGGAACGGCCAACCACGAGACATCTCTCCAGCCCCCCTGCGACCCTTCTGTTTTGTTTTGTTTTGTTTTGTTTTGTTTAAGACAGGTTTTCTCTGTGTATTGCTGACTGTCCTGGAGCTAGCCCTGTAAACCAGGCTGGCTTTGTAGAGATCTGCCTCCCAAGTGCTGGAATTAGAGGTGTGACATGCTTTGTTTTTTTAACTATCTTATATAAACAGGTATTTTGTGCCTCCTGTACTGGCAGGGGGAAAGTATTGACTTCTAGAAACAATCCATCACTGTGTTGTGCAAGTTATGCTGGAAACCAAGCCAACTGCTTTTTTGTTGTTTTTGAGACAGGGTTTCTTTGTAGGTTTGGAGGCTGTAGCTCTTGTAGACCAGGCTGTTCTCGAACTCACAGAGATCTGCTTGCCTCTGCCTTCCCAGTTCTGGGATCAAAGGTGTGAGCCACCACCACCCGGCCAAACCAATTGTTTTACAAAACAAGCCATTCAAGGCCAGCCGTTGCTGCTCTGTTCTCATTGGCCTGTTTACTTATTGTCCATGGGGTATAGAAAACAACAATAAAGGGCTGGAGAGATGGCTCAGGGGTTAAGAGCACTGGCCGCTCTGCCAGAGGTCCTGAGTTCAATTCCCAGCACCCACATGGTGGCTTACAGCCATCTGTAATGAGATCTGGCGCCCTCTTCTGGCAGAACACTGTGTACATAATAAAGCAAAACAAAAAAGCCACTGGCCTCATGACTGGGGTTTGAGTGAGTTACTATAAAAGCCCTTAGAACAGAGAAACAGGGAAACACAACAGGAAACAGTGAGGGAAATTCTAGAGATTAACACAGGAGTGTAGCTGCAACATTAAATGAAGCCAGGGCGGTGATGGAGGCAGATCTCTGATTTAAGGCCAGCCTGGTCTAGAGAGTGAGTTCCAGGACAGCCAGGGCTACAGAGAAACTCTGTTGTGAAAAACAAACAACAAAAAATAACAAAAACTGGAAGCTCTTAGACTACCTGCCCTTCATCCACCCAAGGGAATATGCTTGTGAGAGGAGGGTACCATGTTTATGATCCATAAAGGACCCTGGGGACCTTGTTGTGTGTATGGGGAGGGTCAGAGGACAACTTGGGGTATCAGCGATGGAACTCCAGTTATCAAGCTTGGCCGCAAGCTCCTTTTACCCACTAAGCCATTTTAGCAGCCCTCTGGTTTTGTTTTCACATTTGAAAAGATATTTTAGAAGTGTGTGTGTGTGTGTGTGTGTGTGTGTGTGTGTGTGTCTGTGTTTTCATGTGCACAGGTGTCTTCGCAGGTCAGAAGGGAGCATCAGACTCCATGGAACAGTAGCACAACAGTTGTGGTTGTGACTTGCCTAGTGTGGTACTGGGATTTGAACTTGAGTCCTTTGCAGGAGCAGTACAGTACCCTCTACTCTTAGCCTGGCTCTCTAGCCCCTGGTTTTGTTTAAGCCCAGGCTGGTCTGGAACTTGCTCACTATGCAGCCCAGACTGCCTTAAAACTCACTGTATAGTTCAGACTGGCCGCCAACTCCCAGAAGTCCCCCTGCCTGAATCTCCTGAGAGCTGAGGTAGCAGGAATGCATGCCTTGCCTCGCCAGGCTGTGAAAACATCTTAGCTTCCCTTAAAGTCAGCTTTGCCCACTCCCACTCAGCCCAGTGGGAGTCGCAGCTGCCGCCCTGGGTTCCCACAGGAACCCCCTTGGGTGCCAGCCCCGAAGCTGTGATAATTGCCATGTGTAATTCTTTAATAAATGTCTGTCTTCCTACCCCAGACCATGATCCCCAGAAGTCCTCATCACATTATAATTTCAGCACAATTTAATTACCCATTGTCCATGTCCCCAGGGATTCCCATGAAGTGGGAGGGATAGCTAGACTTAAGTGGGGAGATTGTGAAAAGTCAAGTCAGAGGCTGGGAGGGAGGGGGAGGGACAGGGGGAGGGATGGAGGGAGGGAGGGAGGGAGGGAGGAAGGAGGCAGGCAGGCCGGCCCCAGACACCCTTACAGCTATTCCAACAGAATGTATCGCTGATGGAATGTTCTTCGCCTCCCAAGCACGAAGCCTTGGGCCATCCCCAGCCTGGAGTAATCTGTGAGTGCAGGTATTCACCTGAATCTCAGAAGTTCAAAGTCAGGCTCAGTCGGTAAAGTACTTGCCTTGCAAGCTTGAGAACCTGAGTCCCATGGGCTGGACTGCAGCTCAGATACAGGGTGCACGTAAGTCACGCAGGGAACTCTGGGTTCAATCCCTAGCACCGTGTAAATAGGCCGTGGTGCCGCAAGCCTGTAATTCTAGCACTTCCAATGTGGAGGCATCTTCATTTGTTTTTCAAGACAGGGATTCTCTGTGTAACAGCCTTAACTGTCCTGGAACTAGCTATTGTAGACCAGACTGGCCTCAAACTCACAGAGATCTATTAAGGTTTAATAAGGATCAGGAGAAACAAATAGGCTGAATAGACGTTAATTCAGGAAGAAACAACTTACAACAGAGACAGATGAACACCAGCGGGTTCCTGGTCCCAAGGATGCCTCCGGATGCTCTCCTGTCCAGTACTACAAGCAAGAGACCAAGGGGGGGCGGAGCGGGGGTCTCCTCAGACTTAGTTCCCCCAGGTAACATCTGCCCCATCCCCACCCACAATGGGTGTGGTCTGTGCCACAGGTGCGGACAAAGTGAATATCTCACTACAGAGATCTCCCTGTCTCTGCCTCCTTCGTGCTGGGATTAGAGGCGTGGGCCACCACTCCTGCCTCTGACCAGCCTGGAATACACTGGACCCTTATCCACCAGGCCAGAGTTTTATATCCAGTGAAGGTGAGTTTGGGCTCCCTTGGCCTAAGTGATTCTGTGACCTCCAATGAATACTGTCTTTCTTCATGTATGATCTGACATCCTTTTATCCTGCCCCCTTTAGGGAAGGGCCACAGTGATGGGGGAAGTTTTGTTGCTGGGAATTATGGAGACTCAAGAGGGTAGGGGCAGTATGCTCTGAGATGAGACCTCAGCACACAGTCTAGCGGACTTCGAGTCACCCAGGAAGTGTGGGGTGTGTGTTTGTGTTCATTCTTGAGCCTCATCCCTGGGTCAGAGTGCTGGACTTCCTCCTATATCTTGCACACAGTGGCTTGGGGTGTGTGTGTGTGAGTGTGTGTGTGCATTTGATATGGTTACCATGTGCACATGTGGAGATTATATGCCATACAAGCTCAGCTCAAGAGAGGGATTGGCGCCTGACACATCCATGTATTTATTGTGATAATTTTCAGGCAGTAAACATGTACCAAGAAGTGTAGCCTGGTGTGATGGCACACACCTTTAATTCCAGTACCTAAGAGGCAGAGCCGGGTGGATCATTTTGAGTTTGGCCAGCCAAGGCTCTGAGGCCCTGCTCAAAAAGGAAAAAGGGAAAATTGAAAAAAATCGTACATTACACAGGCCGTCCAGCAGAGGGCAGGACAGTCACACATGGAAAGGGTGACCTTCAAGGGT